GGATCCGACAAGGGTCGGTCCGGCGGTGGCAGAATGACGGCGCATGGCCGGGGTCGGCGTTGGAGAAGAATGATAAACATATATAAAAAAATAAAAAGGAGAGGAAAAAAGAAAGAAAAGAGATGAGGAAAATACCTCTAGGATGAAATTGTGTCAAAATGTGTCCTAGGGTGTAGGGTATTTATACTAATTCATTGGGGACAAATTAGGAAGGTGAGATCAATATGATTTTTGGAAGGGACTTAACTATGGTATGATATAAATTTGAAATCAATCTTGGTCTATAATTTGACCTTCTTAAAATACTTGAAAGGGAAGATTAAAATAATAAATAAGTTGAATAAATAAAATTTCCAAAAGTTTGGGAAAATATATATATATATTACGGGTCATTACACAAATTCATTTATTGACTTGTTAACTTAACGAGCCAAACTCGCCTAAAAGCTCAAATTCATAAGCTCGCGAAGGCTTTAGTGATAGTCATATGAGTATGTAAATGAGGGTTAGGAAACTTCTAGTACCTCTATATATGAAGGATGAAAAATCTAGCAATATTATATTCCCTTCAAATAGCTCTAACTTAATAGGCCCATCCATTGTTATTATATAACATCCAAAAAATGTCCATATCCTGAATCTGTTTATTTATTTATTTATTTTTTTATTTTAATCTTATCAATCATTTAATCCTCTGCAGTCTGCAATGGTACAGTTCCATACAGCTGGTCCCGTTTTTTGCCCTCAACAAAATATATAACAGGAACGCAAGCCAAGGCTAACCCTAGCTAGACGCGTTTCCCTATGATTTTGGAGCACGTATACAATTTTGAAAAACGTAATCTAATTATGTGCTAATAAATTTGGGGAGATTCTACAGTCCTCGTTACGGGATCATTCTATCGGGGTTTGTAACCGTTAAATCAACTATCCACGACGGTTATACGATGATCTAACGGTTATAAATCCCGACAGAATGATTCCATAACGGGACTGTAGCATTTCTCATAAATTTATTAACTTATATGGCCAACGCACAATCTTAGGTATATGGAAAAATAAGACAAAATAAATAAATAAAATAATTTGTTTGTTATCACTTAATTATCACTATTTGTTATCTCTTACATGCAGGCGCAGCCAAAAATAGTTATGTGGTGCTTGTGCTCAACATCTTTGTTTGATGAGTCATGAAAGATTGGTGATGAGTCATCATATTTTGTAATTTATGTGACGTGTCAATCAAATAGTTCGGCCCATTCGGGCTCAAGAGTATTGAATATTAATTAAAAGTATCAATGAATAATATATATCATCAAGAAT